AGAGGAGCAATGGAATCCTGTGGCTTGCCATGACTCAGCCATGCTCTCTAGATCCAGGGGTTCCACACATGGGTGCATAGGGGATTGGGGTCAAAGTCATATGGCATTAAGCAAAGGAACTTTACTGGGAAGTCTCTCTGATGAGCTCTTAGGTGAGCCTAGTAGGGCTGTTGGTGGCCACTGTGGGTTAATGTGTGTGGGTGAACTTGGGGATCATGAGGCCTAACTCGTCCCCTCATTAGTAATACAAGTAACATAAACCAGCAAAGAAATCCAATTTATGGCATAGAAAATGTGTCCTAAGAAAATATGTATGCTATAAACATAAATACAATACTATGTGTTTATGCAAATGAGTTATAAAAAATAATATATTGAGGAAAGTTTCAAGTAAAGCGTTACCGAACAAAGTTGAACTGTGGTTTATTCAACAAAATGAATGCACACGGCATAGAATCATGTCAAGAGCCTTGGCCTGGAGCTTCAGGGGTTGAGGCTCAGCATCTCTCATTGAATGGATTCTGCCAGTTCAGTGGATCTTCAGAAAAGAAGTTCATTTAGTGGGAGGAATAGCCTCCCAGGGGAAAGGAACAGAAATCCTTTAGCGTCTCTGGGCTCCTGTCTTAGTTTGAATTCCCTCAAAACCGATGCTGAGATGAAGATTGGGTATAGGTCATTTATTTGCAGGGTAGCCTCAAGAAGTGCAAGTAAGGAAACAAGGAAAGTGATAGAGGGGAGGAAAGGTAATAAATGCATGTTAATACGCTGGTTATGCTGAAGGTAATTAAGATTCAATGCTGTGGGAAGCCAGGTGAAACAACATATGGATCACACCTCTGAATCAGCCCCCTGAAGGAAGGGAAGGCTGGGGCATTTGCGCACCAACTCCTATTCCCCACTCATTCAAGATTTCCCCTGGGCATCAGCTTACCCACATTTCTGGGTTGTGCTCATGATTCTAGAGAAATGAAGGGCAAACTCTTGAAGTGGAAAGCTGTCTGCATGCCAAAGTTTGTCCAAGACTTCTAGGAAATCAAGTGTGTTGAGGCAACATGGGACAGGGCATTAACAATATTCTCATATCAAAACTGAGACTGGTCTAGATGACCTCCAAGGCTGCTCCCAGCTTTTATATCCAATAATTATCTGCTGAATGGAGTTGCCTGCACCATGGGTTTTCTATCCTTGGTGGTGGTGAGTGCCCTTCTCTAGAAATAAGTAAGTAGATGCTTGATGACCACTTGGAAGGAATGTTGTAGCATCCTATACGTGATTGCAATAAGAAACTTCTAACATACTGTCTTGATTGAGTTCCTAGAAAACAGACCTGTGATGAAGATTCAGGTTGGAGTGATTTAGTAATGAAATGCTCCCTGGGGGCCGGGAGAGTAAGGAAGTGGAAGAAGCAGGATAGAGAAGGGAATGAAGCCAAGGAAGAGTTCCATGTCAAGGAAAGTCCGGGCCTCAGCCTGATCCCACAGGAAAGCTCTGGTATGTAAATAACCTCATGTTCTGTGGTGACCCCAGACAAGGGAGAGGAATTTTCATTCTCCCTTACCCTTCAGTCATTGACTAAGGGTTCCCTCAAAAGAACAGAAACTTAGGGAAGTGTGGCACAGTCACACTTGTTGGCTCTGTTCTGATATAGATTTACAAGACTTCCTGGATGACACCTTGGCCTTGAGGTCCCCAAAGTCTTGTCTTTGGCCCATTCTAATGCTGCTGACAGCGGAAATGCAGGAGACTTAGTATTTCAGAGCTCTAACTCCCAGAATCCACAGTGCTGAAGAGGGTAACTCCTGGACTTTTTTTTTTATGGGATAGAAATTCAAGCTTGCAAGGTACAAAGTGACCCCCCAACCCTCATGCAAACTGTGTGGAATCTTTTCAAACTGAAGTGGATTTGGGACTAAAGACAGTAGAAATATTTCTGAGATGAAGGGATAAATCTAGCTATACAGAGGTGTAGCACAACGCTATCATAAAAAATCCACTTTTGTCTATGCCACAGCCCTGAACCTCCCGTGCACCGGATCAGAGACCCTGATAAATCTGGGCTGCTAGAAATGCCAACCAGCTCATATGTTTTCAGTGAGCAATGACAGGGAGCCAAATTGCTTTATTCCGATTAGGGAAGGGCCTCTGACTGTAAAATATACTGTGTGAAAAAAATATTGAGTTTTAGTTCGCTGACACATCAATTTAAGAGAGTTATGACTCTCACATGGATGCCAAGCAGGTATCTCCCCACATGTATGTGCAATAAAAATTAATTGTGGCACTGTTCTCACTTGTGGGATCAGAGGGTGACCTGAGTGTCACTTCCAGTGGCAAGCCACAACACTAGAGGTGTTGGTACTTTTCTGAAAAAACACAGAGGGAAACAAACACCAAAAGTCATGAATGAGCTCCATGTTTAACTTTTTGATTATACGAAGAGATATGCATTCATGTTATATTTGTATTTTTCCAAGAGTATGTACATATATACATATGTTTTATGGGTACAATGTATGTGTATCAATCGGGATCTAGACAGGAAAACAGAAACTTCTCCAAGCCTTTCAAGTTAATTCAGAGAATTGATCACACACAAATTGGAAGAGAGAAAAAGCCAAACAGAGACTTATGAGGCAATCCAGAGATCAGCAACATGGGAAGCTGCTACCACCTCAAAGTCTCAAAGGACACAGGGAAGGGATGGCCTTATGGAGTTCAGGGCCTGGAGCCATCTAGGGTGAGCTTAAACCATGGTGATAACTCCCCAGAGAGCTGTGACCACAGAAGGAGGGGTTGTTGTGTGGGAGCTGGAATGTCTCTGCTGCCAGAGATGCGATAGGAAACTGAGAGTGAGGGAAATGAAGTGTTCTGACTTCTCTCTTCCTCCTGCTCTCCAATCTTCCACCAGTGTCTCTCATTGGTCAAATTGAACTGGAAGCTAAAGGGTAAGGGGGCCTGGGATATGTAGTTATTTGCCATTAAAAGTACAGCAGGGATGGATCTAAGAGCAGAGGGACAGCTGACAGACATGGTATATAGGTAAATCTCTCTTTGTTGGTTTGTATCCTAATTTGACAAGTCTGTAAGACTCAGTGTGATAGTATCAATAGGTAATTCTTTTAAGAAGCAATTAGGTCACGAAGGTGGCACCCGCATAAATAAGATTAGTGTCCTGTCTACAAGAAAGAGACCAGAAAGCTATCTCATTCTCTTTCCACTAAGTGAGAATACAAGGAGAAGTCAGCTCGCTGTCTTCAGCCCAGAAGCAGGGATTCCCCATAACAAGACCATGACAGCATCCAGATCTTGAACTTCCAAGCCTCCAGAACTATGAGAAATAAATTTCTGTTGTTTGTAAGCCAACTAGTCTATGGCATTTTGTTATAGAAGCCCTAACTAAGACATAATCTTACTATTAGTAGTGGTATGGCATTATTCTAAGTTCTATGTGCCCTTGTATTTTCTTCTTTGAACTAACTTTCCCTTTGGGAGGAAGGAGAGAGTGTGAGGTGAAAGAGACAGGTACCAGCTTGCTTCAAGACAGTCCAGAAGGGATCTCAGAGTCTCCTTTTTCTAGTCTCTTGACCTGAATTCAGTCACTGGTATCCCTTCATGCTCTGGTACTGGAACAAATAGAGGCCCTGCCAAAGGACATATTTCTGGGGATGCCGGGCTGATCAGAGGCAGAAGAAATTCTTTGGATCCTTAGTTCCATTAAGGGCAAGTGGTCCACTTAGGAGTTCCTACACTGCCCTGTCAACCATACCCTAGCCCTTTCTCCCACACAATGGATAGTTCATTTGACAGCTGGCTTGTAACTGATGTGGACAGTAGCCTAGGTGGTAATTTAAGGGTAACTAGCAGGGTTCCCTAATATTCTCTTTCTAAAAATATTTCCCTTGACCCATTGTGTTGAAGCCTGCTCTACTGATATAAAAACATCCTTGCAGAGGTGAGGGGCGAAATATTAATCTGGTGTAAGACACTAACACTGCAGAACAAAATAGTGGCTCAGACCAGACTTCTTCCTTCTGTGACAAGTAGCTGGGACTAAGAGGTTTAGAAGATTCAGGGGCAAGAAAGTCATTTTGGAGCAGATGTTACTGGCCTGGAAGGCAGGGGCAGGTGGGAGCAACATCAATAAGGTCATGAGAAATGAGAAAGAAGGTTTCCATAGAAGGAGACAGGAATAAAGGAGAGGGTGGTAGGAGGGAATGAAGCCAAATAATGTCTTCTTTCCCCAGGAGTAGCCTTGATGCCCTCAACTCATGATTAACTGCTTCTTTAATGAAAAGAACAAACACCTAGTACTCTCTGTACACAGGCATTGATCCAAGTGCACTTCATCTTCAAAGCAATCTTTAAGGAAGTTAGTACTATTATTACCCCCTCAAAGGGTATTGCTGAACACCACTGCTTGCCCAAGATCATATAGCAGAGAGTGGCAGAGTTGGGATTTGAACCCAGAATGTCTGGCTCTGGAAACTGCTTTCTTAACCACTAAATTATATTCCTCTTCAGGTTAATGCAATTGAGTATAACAAAAGTTTTCAGGGGAACTTTGTATGAAGCACTATGGAAGTTGGAAAGATGGATGACAGATACCATTTTTACTCTTCCTCAAGGAATTTCTACTATAATGAAGATCAGCCAGGCAGGGCTATGATGGGCTTTGGGACAGCAATTCTAGGCAGTCAAGGCAGGCAGGTAGCATCTATGAAATTGATTCTCAGAAAGAGGGGTTACAGGCATCTGGCTCTACATGGGGACCAGACTCCTGCCCTAGATAAGCAAAAACCAAAGAAGACCCAGGAGACCTTGTGGGGATGAAGGTGAGAACCTAGGGGTAGGATGAGTTATTGACATTGGAATTCGGAACAAAACTAAAGCTGTAGCATACTGCATCAGTTAGGAATGATTTTTAAGCTGCATCTAAGGGCAAACCTAACATTAACTTGACTTTTGTTTCACTTACTCCTTGCCTCCCTGAATTCCTCCAGCTGGGCCCATCAAACTTCCCTTCTACACATTCAGCACAGTCTTGGATTCCAGAAAAACCTATTGAGGTAAGAAATTTTCAATCACCGTTGGCATCTGTCCCTCAATCTGATGTATCTTGACATGAAGCCGATTCTCCACACTCTTTAAGCTCACCAGGAAGTTAGGAATCTCCTGGCACTGACCTCTATGCTTTGGAGTAGAGTGTCTGGTGGTAGCTTATCTACCCTCCCCTGCAGTTCATCTTCAAGAGTTCCCAAACCCCAGCCCTGGTTAGTATGATTATATGGGTCAAACACTCTTAGTCGTCTGCCTAGTACCCATCCCCGCTTCTTCCTTGCTAGTAGAAATTCAATTTTGTTTGGGAGCATTATGTTACTCCCAGGCATTGAACAATGATTTGTCTAAGCCAATTATGACAATTTTCTTCTTCATTTTCCCAGCCTCCTGGGATGCTAGGGATGTCATATGACTCAATTTATTCTGGCCAAGAAGATGTAAGGGAAAGAATATGTATGTGTGTGTGTTGGGGGGAATATGCTCTGGGAAATTTTTTCTTTCTGATATAAGAAATAGCCAAGATTTTATGGCTCTCCTTGCACTTTCTCCTTTTCTGAATTTAGATTTGATGTCTATGGTTTTACCTCCTAGTTCATAGCTTCAAATTTAAGTATTTAGACTTGAAGAAAACTGAGCCATCATCTTTCCTCCCAAACTGCTCCTTCCAAAATTTGATAGTCCTATGATTTTACCTACATACATCAGTAACCCAGGCAAAGCTGAGGGCCATTCCCCACTGCTCCACACCCTATCAATCACCAAGTCTTATTCATTTGACTTCTAGACTATCTCTTGAATCAGTTTCTTCTCTATCACTACTGTCACTTCCTTAGTTCAGACATCCATTCTGCCTCACCTTGATTGCTTCAATGTCCTTTATTGCTGCAACTGCTATCTGTCTCCCCTCTGAACTCTCAAATCAGTCCTCCAAAAGTGAGCTTGAGTTTCATTTCTAAGATACAGATCTGATCAGGTTATTTCTTTGCATAAAATTCTTCAGTTGCTCCCCAGACTTTAGCTTAGATCCCTAAAGATCTAACTTTTAACATATCACCCAAAGGAATCTCTTACCATTCAAGTGTCTCAAATGCAAAGTATCTTTGGAATCATCCCTGCTGTCTCTCATACTGTTCCTTCTACCTGGATTTTTCATTTCCTCTAATTCCTCTTTGATAAATCCAATTTAACTTTTTAACACTGGTCTGGTCAATTAGTCATTACTTCCTTTCTCAAGAAGCCCTCCACAACTCTCCTTTTCTGTTTACTTTAGATGTCCTCTTTTCTGTTCTACATCCACAATATCACTTTACACATGGATCTGTAATTTCCAGCTATTTCTTAAGAGCTAATTCTCATTTAGATTTACTCATATATTTACCAAATTCATCACTCATCATTGCTTTTCACTTCCTACAGATTCCTTCTGGGTTTCATTTCTAAAGTCAATACTTCAGTAATTCTTCCAGTTTAGATCATAACTGAATGTTCTTTCAGGCTTTGTTTTAAAATGTCTACATTTATTTCACCCTCACTTTCTTTCCACTTTTTGTTATGAAAAATTTCAAATATATAGAAAAGTAGGAAAAATAATACAGCAAACATGCATATTCTCCATGTGGATTTAACAATTGTTAACATATGCCATGTTGCTTCATTTATTATAGGCATCCTCACATTTTTGCCAGAGCAGAATACTTTTATTTTGACCCTATCCTCTTCCCCATCCTGATTTTTTTCTTGAGAAGCTGAACTCTCTGGACTACATCCTTACACTCCCTTGACCTCTTGCTCTTAGTTGGGTTTGGCCAATGGGAGGATCAGACAGAAAATCAGAAGGTGGGCCCAGAGTGAGCAGTGGTTGTGTGTTCCCACTAGAGTCCACAGCTTCTGCCACTAGATTGTCTGTAATTACAGCCATGGCTGCTTTTTTTTTAGGTCCCAGTAACTGCTCCCTCCTGTCTCTTAAGACCTGTGATTGGGAACCCCTATTGTTCTGGGGTGCTTCAACATACTTTGTTGGTTTCTTATCTCCTGAATATACTGTATAGATAGTCTTTTTGTTAAATTTTTCTCTATTATTCCACTTTATCCACACTTCTAAGTACTTCAATATGCATCTCAAAACAACAACAACAACAACAACAACAACAACAACAAAAAAAAACCTTTTCTCAAGATTCAGGAGAAATTCAAAACCCAATGCAAGGAATCTAAGGAATATAGTAAAATGATACAGGAGCTGAAAGATGAAATGGTCATTTTAAGAAAGAACCAAACTAATATGATACAGATGAAAAACTCAGTTCAATAATTTTATAATATAATTGCAAGTATTGAAAGCAGAATAGGCCAAGCTGAGGAAAGAATCACATGGCTTGAAGACCAGTTCTCTGAATTAACTCCATCAGACAACAATCAAGGAAAAGCAATAAAAAAGAATGAACAAAACCTCTGTAGAATATGGGATTATGTGAAGACACCAAATCTACAACTCATTGGCATCCTTGAAAGAGAGAGAAAGAAAGAAAGCAACTTGGAAAACATCTTTGAAGATACCATCCATGAAAGCTTCTCCAACCTTGCTAGAGAGGCCAACATTCAAATTTAAGAAATGCAGAGAACTCCTGTGAGATATACAAAATGACCATCTCCAAGACACATAGTCATCAGATTTGCAAAAGAAAAAGTGCTAAAGGCAGCTAGAGAGAAGGGGCAGGTAATCTACAAAAGGAACCCCATCAGACTAACAGCAGACCTTTCAACAGAAATCATATAAGCCAGAAGAGATTGGGGTCCTATATTCAGCATTTGTAAAGAAAAGAAACTATGACCAAAAATTTTATATCCAGCCAAATTAAGCTACGTAAGAGAAGAAGAAATAAGATATTTTTCAGAAGAGAAAATTTGAAGGGAATTTGTTACCACCAGATCTGCCTTACAAGAAGTCCTTAAGAAAGTGCTAAATGTGGAAATGAAAGATCGTTACTGACCACCACAAAAATACACTGAACTATGTAAACCATTGACACTATAAAACAACCACACAATTAAGTCTGCATAATAACCAGATAACAGCATGATGACGGAATCAAATCCACATATACCAATACAAACTTTCAATGTAAACAGGCAAAATGCCTCCAATTAAAAGGCACAGAATGGAAAATTGGATTAAGAAGGAAGATCCAACTCTATCCTGTCTTCAAGAGAACCATCTCACATGCAACATCACCCATAATCTCAAAGTAAAGGGATGAAGAAAAATCTACCAAGCAAACAGATAACAGAAACAAATCATGGGTTGCTTGTTGGGTACCAGCCCCAACCCTGTTTGTGGGTGCCCCAAGCCCCAGCAGTGACAAGGGATTGAGAAAGGAAATAAAGACAAAGACACAGAAACAGAGTTTAAGTGTGGGTCCAGTGGACCAACGTAAAGTATGAGGACCACATTGGCCCCTAGTTCTGGTTTCCACAGGTTTTTATTAGGTGCACACACTTGTTAACTGAGGGGTGGAAAGCAGGGGGAGTGGTTTATCAGGGGAGGCCTTGAAACTATTGTGGAGCAAGATAGCCAGGGGGAGAAGCATGCATCATTAGACTACAATGAAAGGGGTGGCTCTTCTAAAAGAAGCTAATCTAGTATACCAAGTTTTACTACCGATCTTATCTTATCGATATGCAGCTGCACGAGAACACAGCAGGTAGGGTGCCACCTGATCTGACCACACACAATGCATTAAGGGGCTTTTATCTCCCAAGCACTGTGGACATAGGGCAACCAAGATTACCCCATATTCTGAAAACATAGGCAGAGCAGGAGGTGTTCCACTATCTCTTCCCCCAAGGCCTTCCTGCCTTGCCAGCTCCCATCTGCATAGACCCTCCCGGATCTTGTGAGCAGAGGTCACTGACCTTTCCCAGGTGCTTACACAGGCCCTCCTTACGAGACCCCTGTGCAGACCCCATGTTGGAAAGGAGTTCGTGGGACCAATGCAGTGTTTTCCTGACTTGCAACCACACTGTGGATGTGCCACGGTTAATGGGGCACTCTCAGACACTCTAACTTTAGGCCTCCCATTACTGCTTTTGCTTGTGCTTTTACAAGCTACAAGCTGTTCTCTTTTGTGCTGTCCTTTTCATTCACTATTGTTTATTTCAGGATATAAACTTCAGTGTACTGTGAACTCTATAATCTAATAAGTAAATCAAACTTATATTTGTTTAATCAGTAATAGTAGAGACAGCATATGTCTGCCCCGGTCATCTGGTCCCACAGATGCTATTCTAATTTCAGACAAAACAGACTTTAAACCACCAAAGATCAAAAAAGACAAAGTAGGGCATTACATAACGGTAAAGGGTTCAATTCAACAAGAAGACCTAACAATCCTAAATATATATGTACTCACCACAGGAGCACCCAGATTCATAAAACACATACTTAGAGACCTGCAAACAGATGTAGATAATCATCTACATTATAATAATAATAATAATAATAATAATAATGGTAGATTTCAACACCCCACTGGCAGTGTTAGACAAATCATTGAGGAAGAATACTAACAATGATATTCAGGACCTGTACTTGACACTTGACCCAATGGACTCTTCATCCAAAAATAACAGAATATTCATTCCTCTCATCTGCATATGCCATATACTCTAACATTGATCACATGCTCAACCATAAAACGATTCCCAGCAAATTAAAAATAATCCTACCAACCACCCTTTTTGACCACAGCACAATAAAAAATAGAAACGAATGCTAAGGAGATCATACAAAACCATACAATTAAATGGAAATTAAACAACCTGCTCCAGAATGATTTTGGGGTAAACAATGCAATTAAGAGGGGAATTAAAAAATCATTTGAAACTAATGGTAACAAAGATACAACATACTAGAATCTATAGGACAAGCTAAAGCAGTGTTAAGAGAAAAGCTTAGAGTGCTAAATGCCCACATTGAAAAGTTAGAAAGATCCCAAATTAACAACCTAAC